TTTTAGTAGCTTAGACATGGGATCATTGAAATGCACAGAGCCGCGGCTTTTCACTAAGACTTGCTCGAATTGGCATCACTAGGTGGGGCAACAAATTACCGCTTTAGCATGTCATTCGCACTAGCGTCTCAGAAACTTGCTCGCCTCTTCCATCCAGACACCACTGGGTAAACTCAGCGCAGGCAACAAATCACGCATACGCTGACGCTGGCGTCTTCGGTGTTGCTGGAAGCGCCGAGCCCGCCAATCTGCACTACTTGGTTCAAGTATTGGCATCCGAACTGCGCTATACTGCAGAGGCGCCAATCCTAGACGAAGAGCTTCAACGTGCCAAGAACCAGTTGATATCAATGTTGCTGATGAACTTGGAGATGAACCCCGTTGCATTCGAGGACATTGCTCGGCAAGTTCTTGCCTCCAACGAATGGAAACCACCGGCCTTTTGGGTGGAAAAAATAAGTGTGTTGGCTCTCCTTTCACCACACACCGTCCTCTTGTAGTGTTCATCTTCAATTTAACTTTTTGTAGATGCAGTGACGACTGAAGACATACAAAATCTATTGACCCGCATGTTCAAGTCACCAGTGACCCTGGTGGGCTTTGGCCGCATGTCCAAATGGCCAGGGTTGCGCGATATCCAAGAGATGATCGCGGCTCCTCTGCAAACGCGTGGAACCTTCCCCTCCCTCTTCAAGAGATTTGTTTAACTGTTTCACCTCTTAATTCCTGTGTACAAAGACACTGATCATGGGGCTGCAGGCATCATCGTAAAGTCACTTTCGTCACTTGACAATTCTGACCTTTCTTGCTTTGTGTCTGTATGAAATTTTATGGCAGACGGCGCCCTGATCCCCATGCCTAATGCGGGTTCGCGTTTTCATGCCTCGATGGGCATTGTTAAGTACTCACGCTGCGTCGTAAAACTATGGGATGAACACGTTGATGCACTGTCCATGGATGGCGCTAAAACAAACTCTCCTCCGCGTCCTACTTAATTTAGCCAATTTCGGTTACTGGTTGGTTTTGGCAATTATGCTGCCGGCGAAGTGAATAATGCTTTCT